GTACTACGCGGCAGCACTGGAGATACTCAATCATAGTTTTGACTGAGTGGATGCAATAAAAATTCGTCAGAAAAATAGTGCGGCAGTGCATTTCTCCCCCATCTTTGCTCATTGTATGATCATTATAGTGTTTCCTTTCACTTGCCACCTAGCAAGGGCATCTAATTCAGTATTTGTTTGGAGTGATTTCATCACCCCAAAGTAATACAAGTAACTGGAAATTTAATCTTCCTACGTGAGGGGAACAGAACCAGAGGTGGCACTCTCCATGAGCTGTGAATGGTGCCATTGTAACTCGTCTGGAGCTTCTCTACTGGGGTGTCCTTCCTTTACCCCTAGTTCAGTATCTGCAAAGGGTGACATCCCAGAGGGCTGTGCCCTCTAGGCACCCACTTCTGTGGGCACATATTCCTACTGTGTAGTCTGGAAACAGTTGGAAATATCTGTGACTTTTTTCCCTCTCTCCTTCTTATTTCTCCAGCTGTAGTCTGTCACTAACTTTAGTCATTTTCTTGTTTTAAAACAAGGGTGGACCCAGTTTGTCGATATTAATTAAGAATCAAAATATAGCCATTCTTCTACAAATTTACTTGTACGAACTTTTCCTGATCTTGAGGAATATTCATAAATGCACACCAACAAAAAAAATGAAAGAAAAATACATTTAACCTTAAATATTCTATGGCAGTCTTAGAATAATGAAAATTTAGAATCATCTAAATGTTGAACAAGAATTTAACTAATACATTTATTATGTGATAATATGTTGCCACTATACATTTTACACTGAATTGTTTCTGTAAGATAATTTTGATTATAAATTTAAGTTTAACTCATGCAAAGCGTTTACAGATCTCTTAATAGTGTGCTGTAGGTAAGAGATTTGAAAAGACAATCTCATTTCTTTTTCTCTGTCCATAACTCTTTCACTGTTTTTTTTTAGTCATTGATATTTTAAAAAATGTAATCTAGTATCATAATTGGGCCCTGGTGTGCTTTAGGAATGGGATCAGAAAAGGATATTGGGGCAGGGGGTCCAAACAAAAAAAGAATATATCTGTCTTGATTGAGGCTGAAGTCTCAAATAATATTGAATGTGTGAAAGAAGAAACTAGGAAATGATTAAGTATTTGGAACAGTAGTCCACTGTGTATAGGCTGAACTTAAGTTTTGTGATGCTATACATATTCAGTTGAATGAATGAATCACAGCTGAATTGCCTCAGTAGTCCTATATTTTTATAATACTTGCTAAATTATCATCTGTAAAGTCATGCCGTAAAATGATATTTCATAGTGAACATTTAAAATACCAAGTATACTTTTGAATATAACCAATTGGCTAAATACTAAGACTATAATTTTGTATTTGATTTTGGTTACTTTAATGTAGCTCTGGATTGAATTAAGTAATTGATTACCTATAACTGATTGGAGTTTTAAATAAAAGCTTTTGTGAGTTACAAAAGCTGTTCCTGAGAGTTAGAATAGGAAAGTACAAAGATAGCTAATTTTGGGGGGAACTCAGTTTTTACTATATAAGTAATACACAATATGAAAATAAATCCTTTGTGAATTTAGAAAGTGTTAGTTTATTTTGAGTATTCTGTTTGTTTAATAGCCTATAAGCTCCTTGAGGAGGACTGACTTAGTTTATGCATAATACTCCCTTCACCAGGCTTGCCACCTGGGTGGTATAGGGCTGTGGTCCCCAACCTCTAGGCTAGGACCAGTGTGGTCTGTGGCCTCTTAGGAACCAGGCCGCACAGCAGGAGGTGAGGGGCAGGCAGGCTAGTGAGTGAGGCTTCATCTGTATTTACAGCCGCTCCCCATCACTCGCTGCATCATCACATAAGCTCCACCTCCTGTCAGATCAGGGCATTAGATTCTCATAGGAGCATGAACCTTACTGTAAACTGTGCATGCGAGGGATCTAAGTTGCAGGCTCCTTATGAGAATCTAATGCCTGATGATCCGAGGTAGAGCTGCTAGCACTGGGGAGCAGCTGCAAATACAGATTATCATTAGAGACAGGTTTGACTGCAAAATAAATGTGATGTGCTTGAATCATCCTGAAACCATCTCCCCCACCCCCACCTCGGTGTGTGGAAAAATTGTCTTCCATGAAACTGGTCCCTGGTGCCAAAAAGGTTGGGGACCGCTGGTGCAGGGTAATAGCGTAAAAGATCAGATGAGTGTCTCGTTGTTTGTGACCTAGTTGAAAGACAGTTCTGAAAGATAGCACAATTATCCAGGCTGCATATAGGGCAAGTGACACATCTTAGAGGACTCACATGGGCTATATAAACAAACAAACCAAAATGGACAAGCTCTGCAAAGCCATATTAAGTCCACTAATGAAGTAGTGGTATTTTCTCCAATTTTCCTCTTTAGCACATAGGCTTTTAAGATGTTTTAGAAATGGGACCTTAAGATCTTTTCCCTTAAAAAATGTATTTTTGATTGCCAGAAACTGATATAGCACTATGATCAATTGAACCATCAATTCATAGCTGTTTGAACAAATAAGAACTTTCTTGCTCCGCTATTCAGTATTTTTTTATGACTTTAAAAAATACTAGCAATATGTATTTATTAGAATTTTTATGTACAAAAATTTGCATCATTTTTATTTTTTTATTTTTTTGCCCTGGAATGCATTAGGGGATGCTGAAGCACCACTGATTACTACTTTTAGTTGGAATATTGATGACCTTTGCTTATCAGAACCAGGCATTTTGAAAATCTTTGTATCTTGGATACTTCTTCAGTGTCAGTGTTCATTATCCAAGTGTTGTGCTGAATAATATATTAGGGGAAGAGAATACTTAATTCTGTTTTCTTTGGCAGTCTATCTCACTTGGATTCCACCTAGCCCATCTCATTTTGGGAAATCCTAAAAATAATCACTAATTGTTCCCCTGACAAACATATCCATAATTGGCCACGTTTTGATTTTATTTCTTATAATTTTATAAAGGGTGGAGTTGGTTGTTTTGTTTTTAGAATGATTCAGTTAAGCAGGCTTTCAGAATTGGCTGAGTGCCTACTCTGTGTGCCGAGCACAATACTGCGCATTCCTGAGGGTTAAGATAAAATTGAGCAAAGTATCCTCCAGAGCACTTATCATCTGATGTACTACAGAGACATCCAGATAAGATGTCCTGGGCCAAAATCAACAAAGGAGTCTTTACCTTTATTATTTTATTAGGCATATATTGAACATTCTGGTTACAGAAAATTAATAGTAACTGTGTGAATTAATTTTTTGGGAGGTACCTGTTTCTTTACATAAAGATAGTTGTTACTCTTCCTCTGTGGTTATACATCTAAGTAAACGGCAGTACCCATCCAGTTGTCCAAAAAGAAACCTTTGATTCTTTACTTTTCCTTAATCCTGCAGTCCAGTCAGTTGCCACTGAGTCTACTTTGTAAATATTTCTGGAATCCCAGTACTGCCCTAGCTCTGCTGTACCAGTCCAGTTTTTAGTCTTCTGATGGATCACTGCAGCATCTTCCTAATTTGGCTCCCTATTCCAGGCCATTTTCCTTACTACATATTCTTTACATCAGAACCAGTGTGATGATTTAAAAATATAAATCTGGTTTTCCTCTTGTTCTGCCAAAAACTGTTTTACTGAATTTAGCTTAGGGCTTCCTCTGTGCATGCCCTCCAGAAAATTGTTACTACCTCCTTATTTGTCTGTTTTCCTTTATGAGATAGAAGCTTGATGGGTATTTAGTCACCACATTTCCCACAACCCAGGGCAGTAGCAGTTTCTGTCACATATTAGTCACATGTAAACACAAATTTAAAAATGCTTGTAATTTATGATTTTTAAATATATTGTTAACTTTATATTATAAAGAGATCCATGACTTAGCAGTAGCAGGATAATCAGCATAGATCCACAGTGTTATTTAATAGATACCCCTTTATACTGAGTAGCTGTTAGTATATAATTTTTAAACAGGAATCAGCAAACTACAGTCTGTGGGTCCAATCCAGCCTGCCACCCTTTTATAAGAACGACAAGCAAAGAAAGGTTTTATACTTTCAACTGCTTGGGAAAAAAATCAAAAGATTAATAGTGTATGACACAACATTATCATGAAATTCAAATTTCAGTTTCCATAAATAAAGCTTTATTGGAACACAGCCACACTCAAATTTGTTTACATTTTGTGTGTTGCTGCCTTTGCACCACATGGTAGAGTTGAGTAGAGTGACAGACTATGTGGCTGATAAAGCCTAAAATATTTACTGTCTGGCTCTTTATAGAAGAGTTTCCTGACCTCCTCTTTAGATCCTTTTGGTGACATGAGAACAGAAAAATATAATTAGACATACTTAAGTCATGTCTCAGTTTTCTTCTTCCCCCCCTCCATGTTCAAGGTTTAAGTACGCTGAGTAAGAGAATATTATTTGAGTGTTGGAAACGATGTTATTCCAGCTTCTCTATCTTATACATACCAAGTAGAGCCTTTTGAGATTTGAACATTGCAGATTAGATGTTGAGAAAACAGAGACTTCAAATCCTGCCAAATTTTGCACACAAAACCAGAGTGGAAGACTTGTCGTTTTCCCCCATCCAATGGTCTAAAATCAGTCTTTACCTAAAGAACTAGTATTCTTGATTTTTAAAGCTTAACTTTTTTTTTTTTTTTTTACAGTTAAGGACAAAAAAGAAACAACTCTTTATGCTATTTGATATAACCATTAAAAAATATGTTACTAACTAAAGCCCTCTTATAAATTTTGATTCATCTTTTGCTGATATGTTACCTTGCAGAAAAATAGCACCAGCCATGTTTTGGTTGTGTAATCATTTCTTAACTATTGGAAGTAACTTTATTTGTTAGGATTCATTATTATTAGGCAATAGAGAACCTTCATTTTACATCATTTAATAAAATCAAATGGTTTTAACAATATTGTTTACATTTTGTTTAAAGATATTTTACTGAGAAAATACTTAATTAACTTTGTTTTATTTTTAGGGTTATATCCTGTGTTGTGACCTCATGGTTTAAGTGGGAATAAAGATGAGTATAAGCAGTGATGAGGTCAACTTCTTGGTATATAGATACTTGCAAGAGTCAGGTGAGTACTTTTATAAAGTAAATAGGCCTCAAATTATTTTAATATTCTCAAAATAATCTTTTATGCATTTGAAATTTGTATCAGTCCAAACTGTTGAACTTTGTATGTTTCCTTAATGTCTGGACTGCCATTTTAAAGCTATGTTTTACTGCATGGTTTAACTCTCTGACTCTTTCAAATATGTTGGAATTATCTCAGGCAAATATTGTAACAAACAGTTTGGCTTTCACTGTTCAAAGACCATTTTGATAATTTGTTATGAGGTGAGATTATTGCACGTGTTTAGTTAGAAACATATAAACTCTCAGATACCATCAGTTTGTAATGTATATCTAGAATCTTCAATTAACTGTTGTTGGTCCTAATTACAGTTAGCATTTCAAAAGCTAAATTAACAGTAATTTTTTTCAGAATGCTTTCATAAGTAGTATCCCAATTGATTAAGTGTATCCTTGACCTGAATTCTTATTAATTGTATTGAGGGTGATTATAAATATAAATCATTGAAAGTTATTTCTAATTAATATAATATTAAGTAGTGATCATCCACATTTTCTAGATTAAAGAGGTATAGTCATAAAATAGAAGGATTACTGCAAGGGAAAACGTGGATTGATTCAGCAAAGAAAAAAATAAAGGAGGGAAATCTTAGGAATGGATGGGGCACAGGATGTGACAAAGATTGATTGCAATGGTCAGTGCTGATTGCTAACATGAAATGAAATCACTGGGTGGTTGAAAATGTCATGGGCTAGAGATTGAATTTAGAAATTGTACCTTGAAGTTACTGTTAATGTTTTAGTAGTAAGGTGAAGTGCAGTATAAAAAAAGATAATTTTGGTAGTCGCATGTGAGGGATGACAGAACGAATAGAATAGAGGTCTACTCTTGTAGGACAGTGAGCCCTCAGTTTATGGTATTAAGACTTTTTAATCATTCTTATACGACACAGGCAGTTCTCCTTTCCTGTGCAGGGAATACATGGCCTTAGATACCATTGTTTGCATCTCCCAGCTGTACTCCAATTCTGAGCTTTTCTCTTGAGTGGGGTTTTCTCTTCCCAAGCACCATCACTGCTCCTCTCTGATGTGGAACAGCTGAGAAGATGAAGTCCAACAAGGGCAGAAAGGGAAAGAGAGAGAAATAACTAAAGTAACCAACCAACAGAGAATAACTTACTATGAAGCTTTGAAATTCATAGACCTTGTTTTGTTTGTTTAAAATGGTAAACTGTTATTGAAGGCAGATCTAAAAGAGGAGTTCCAAAGCATGTTCTGAATAAGATAAAATGATTAATAAACTAGAAAAGTTGTGACCTAGTTATTATTACATATGTAACGTGTAAACATGTGTTCAGATGTTGTTATGTAATAATTTGACCAAAATGGAAAGAATTTGTTGGGTATAAGCAAACTGTGCTTTCTGCTTTTGAATTTGACCACCTTTTACGCTAGCGCTTTGAAGCTTTTGGACACTGAAGCAAAAGACATTGTGAAGGATCAGTAGATGGGAAATATTGTCATAAAGGCTTATAAATTTATTGTAAAGGCAGCTATTAAGGTTGAACTGTATGAAATTACTGTTTTTGAAAGACAGAAACAGTTGCATAGCTCAGCAGTGCACCCTGTGGTTCAGTCTTTGCTGGGGTGAAATAGGGCAAGATGCGGTTTAGAGGTGTTAGTGTGCATGCAAATTTTCCTGTTTCTAAACAGAAGTCCACAAATTGATATTTTATATTGCAACAAGAAAATATAGTGAGTAAAAAGGGGCAGTAAAATAATATTCTGGATTAATTTCTGAAAAGGTGTCCAGTGATTAAATATTATCAAAAGTCTACTTAAAGTTGCTTATGTTCGCAGAAAAAAATCTTGTACATTCCACTTTTTAAGCTGTTTTATGTTGCAATAAAAATAAAGCAAGGATGAAAAAATCTTTGTATGGTAGACTGATGTATCATATTAAGTCTTTTATAGTTGTTTACTGCATTCTTACGTGTGTTTTGTGTATTCTTTAGAAAGTTTTATACTTTACAGTGTACTGGTGATGTTAAGTCGCATTTAAAAATATGAGCACCAGTCCCTTGGTAAAAGTTGTAACTTCCTATTTACATTATGATTTATAGGGGAAAATCAGACTCAACTGATGACATTTTGACTTATGGCAGTTTTTCTAGGACTTCAACTTGCCATAAATTTAAGAATCGCCTATACCAGAGTTCTAAAGTTTGATCCTCTGACCACCTGCATCAGAATCACTTAGAGAACGCCGAGTGGGGCCCAGGAATCTGCATTTTACAAATGCCCCAGGTGATTCCTAGGCTTAATAAAGTCTGAAAACTGCTCTATATTAGTTGTAGGACAATTAGAACTTGACAAGAAAGTTGACAACAGGTATGTAGCATGTTCACAATATCTTGAAAGAAAACTTATAATCAGTAACTTTTCAAGATAAAGTAGAAAGCATGAAATGTACACCTACTGAGATTTGGTGTGTGAGAAGAGGTGCCACTGAAAGTGGCGTATTTGTATTAGTTTAGTAGGAATAATGAGGCATCTTTCTGTCATAAAGGATGCTAGGAGACATTCATTTGAAATTCTAGAAATAGGAGACGGCAGAGTTTAAGAATTTTATAGTTCTGTGAACTCACAACAGTTCAGATAGAAGCCTGAATCTTACCCATAACAAAAGCCTATAGAGGCTTCAGATCTGGGCACTTGCCGCTTGTTTCAAAAGCTCTTTCTTGGTTCTGATCTCCAATTATTTATGAATATGCCTACTTTTGCAATAGATTCTAATTTGGCATCACCTAGAAGAGTAAAATTTCTTTTCTGGGGATTCAGCATATTTATCACCATGACCTTCAAAGGATACTTGTTGAGATTTAGTTGTTAAGTATCTAAGAAATATGATATAAATTACTTTTAGGTCATAATTATTTCTCTTGAAAGATTTAAAGCAATACAGAAGAAACTGGAATCTTAATACTGCTCCTTTCCCTATGAAAGAGTGCTGACTTGGATTGGGAGATATGCAGAAAAGGAACAGTCATAGCAAAGAAAGCATTTATGCAAAGACATGCAAAGAATCGGTTTGTGAAGGCTACCAAAAAAGAAATAAAATTTGCTCCTTGCCTGTCTCATTTTTTAAAGGCTCTCGATTAAAGAAAGTCTGAAAACACCTTGTAGAAGTGTTATGTTTTGATAAATGTGGTTTAGAAGTATTGTTTTTCAGTAAGAACTCTTAATATTTATTCTCTGCAGTGTTTCTTTTTGACTATGGTATCCATTTCTAGAGGGAATAAAATCACTTAAATTGTTTTAATTTTACATATTTTATACTATAATCAGCACTAGAAAATATTATCTGTTACAAGTTCCTCTCTCCCAAATTACATAACTTCTCACATTCATTTTCCTCATGTATAAAATTTGTTGCTTATTGAAAAGGTATTACATTGTGATATTCAGCCTCAAATTAAGTTTAGTGGACATCTCTGTTTCAAATAAGCCATCCTCCCAACTCTCCAAACTAATTAAGAGAAAGATATATTTATTGTAGGGTTTTTATTAAAGGTTATAACTTTTTCTGGAAAGTTCAGCCTAAGCAAATTACTTTGGTCCTCACCATTCTGCATTTTTATGAAGTAGACTTCCATACTCAACAAAAATTTCCTAGGGAATAAATTTTTTTTTTCTTTTGAGATGACTTGAAAATTGAGTGTATTTGATATGTAGTACTGTAAGTAATGATTAACTTGATTCAGTATGCTTCCTTTAATTAGTATTCACCCAAGGGCATTAATTTGATTGCTCTAATAACCCATCTATAGCAACCATATGCATGTAAATACTTAATGGTGCACTCCAAGTTGAATATAATGTAATCTGATACAGTGTTGATCTTACAAGAACTAAGCTGGTTTGGACCTTTTTAATTCCCCTTCATCCCTCCCACCCCCACTTTGCATCACCTTTGCTCCTGCAGTTATTCACAGTTTTGGTTTTTTTCTGAAGAAATTGTTCCTGGCGATTATTTGTGAACTTTCTGGCACCTGTTTTTCATGTTGCTTTGTATAAGAAGATGTCATTTCATTTTGCTCAAATTTTATATTTGATTTGGGGGACAATTCTTGATACTAGATTTAACTGTCATCTATCGCATGTTTATGAGCTTCATAACTTCTCCATTTATGACGTACTTGACTGTTGGAAGCTATGAAACCGTTTCATCTTCTGATTATAAGACTAACTGGAAATTGCAAAAGCAAAATGTCCTTATTACTAAGATAAGTTGTTTTCTAGATTGTGATTCTGAATACTATTACTTTTTGAAAAAATCCTCATGTTTTTAGAACTGAGGTTCATCTTGCATATAGCCTCCATGAGAAGGTGATGATATATGTAGGATTAAAATGTGTGGTTCATGAAAGATCATCTTGTCTCTCCACCCCACCTCCCTCCATTGGTTTTTTTTCCCTAACCCTTTCAAAGGGACATCATATCTCCCTGGAGATAGGCCTTGCACCATACCAGTTTTTCTTAATATGGTGATTATTACTTCAAATGTTACATTTGCTTATAAAATCACATGTCAAAACTATGTATTATTTTTTTTTAATTTAGAAAACCATCATAGTAAGCACAAAGTTACCTAAATGTTTATGCATAACATTAAAGTTCTGGCCTATGCCACTATATAGCTCATTCATTCATTTTTTTCATTTTAGGTTTTGTATTAGCACCTATAATGGTTAATAAAATATCAGCAATCAAATGACAGTGCAGTTTCTCTTGACTCAGATAAAGGTAACTGAGCTAGGTAGTCATTCCTTCCTGCCTGCTTCACTCCCAGTGCCATTTATAAACAGACTTTACCAGTGGATTCAATGGAGTCAGGTTAAACTGGCTATCAGTAGTGTGTCTGTAGCCATGAAGAACTGGAGTGAAGAGAGCTCAGGATCTGGTATGTCTACCTTCAGACTTCATTGTAGTTTTTATGAGTTGATGAACAGCTACAAAAGCGTAAATAGGTATATAGTTTTGCTTTATAATCAAATAAAATAGGGAATAACGTTGATTTGACACATATAGTTGTATACATAATTAACAATAAGCAGCAAGCAATTATCATGCATACTGGTAATTGCAATACTTCCATATTTCCAAATCAGTTTTTCTCCTTTTTTTTGTAAGCTGAAATGACCCATTTTTTGCTGAAATAGGAAATTCCTATTACACATTCCTACTGACACACTTACTAAAGGACAAAGGTCCTTTTAATAGTTGCCAAACTGAGAATTTGTTCAATCTTAATTAGTAATCTTTTGTTTTTTAGGACTAGTCAGCATAGCGAGAGTATAATGAAACATATATAAATTGCTGATGGCATTATAAATTTGCACAGTTTTTTTGGAAAGCAATTTGGCAGTCATGAAAACTACTTTTAAAATGCTCATGTTCCCTTCAGCTTTTGAAGGAATCCATCCTAAGGAGGAAAAAAATTATACATGGCAAAAGCCTATACATACCTATTTGAGATAAGATTCTTTTTAAATAGTGAACACTGGAAAATTCCAAATGTCCAGCTATGGTATGACCAATGTACTGGCTGAATACATTTATTGGCTAAATATTATGATACTATTAAAATTATTTCAGAAGATATAATTCATATAAAATGTTCATAGTTATATTTAAGGACAAAATTGGGGCACAGAATTGTACCGCTAGAATATAAGTGCCAGGTTTAATTTTTCAACAACCCCTATAACATTTCCCCTAGCCGCCTTTTTACCTTTTCTAAAATCTGGATCTGTGGGGCAGAGTTGGAAATTGACTTGGAGGCAAGGGAACATGTGATTATGGGAACAGGAATATAATTTTATGGGCTTTTCTGACCTGAAGCTTAAATAGGAATTTGTCTAAATCAGATTTTCTTTCCAAACTAGGGCAGTGCGTTGTGATCATATTTAAGCTTTGCCTTTTTCATCAATTTGTCTTGTCTAGACACCCCTGCATCATAACCATGGTATTCAAGGTCCATTTTCATATTCCTGTATTGTCTGTTTGCAAAGTAGAGTTGGCAGGCTCTGGAGGACTGATTCCCCTTAGACAACACAGTCCCAGTCCCTAACACCCTAAGGGAAAGCACTCCCTGAAACAAGTACTGTACAGAAAATGTTTGTTTCATGATCTCATGTGTAACCCACTCTCCTCCCCCTCCCCCCACCACCTACCCTCCACTGTTTGTTTCTGTCACTGAATGACTATACACTGAATTTCATGGTTTTCAGCCTGATTCCTGTCGGGCATTTCTCTTCTACCTCCCAAATCTTAATTACTCAAGTGAATGTTTAAAGTGCTTGATTACAGAGGTACTATTCATATCAGATTCGCTTTTACCCTTGGAAAGAAGGGATGCTATTTTAGGCAATCATGCTGGATTTTAACATTTCACAAGTTTAGGTGATCCCTTTTGCCTCCTATTATGTAAAATGAAAGCTGTCCCTGATAAAGTATTTCCTACAGATAAATGGGAATGTTTTTTGGTATAAATCTGGTTCAAGTTTTAGATTGTTTTGCAAGGAAGACTTAAGTCTTGCTTTTTCTGGAGTCATGTATTTTTTGATGTACCAAAATACAAAATATAGTAGCATTACATTCTAATTTAACAAATGTTTATTGGGTGGTTGTTAATTAATGTGTTAGTTTCCCAGATTTAAAAGATTACTAGCTATCAACCCTTTGGTCAGATAGCCCAGTCCAGCAGTCAGACACAGGTGGTAACTGGTGTGGTAAATGCTGCACATGTACAAATTACAGGATCAGTGTAGGAGAGAATGGTTAACCCTGGGGTAGTAAAAGAAGACTTCTCTTCCATTCAGATAGGGAAAAAGAGTATAGAAACACACAAGGCTCAGAGGCCTGATATAGCACAGCTTATTCAAGATATTACATGTAATTTGCCATCACTTGAATTTAATGTACAGTGGAAACAAGATGGAGGGGTGTGTGGAATTGGGAAGATGAGAATGGAGAGGTAGATAGGACCAGATTAAAAAAATAACCGTGTTCCGTGCTTAGGAGTTTGGCCTTTATTATGAAGGCCGGGGATCACTTTCCGGAACTCTGAGTTGAAAACAGAACAATGATGTAATCTTTTACTTTCTATTAGAAACAGTAGCTCACTCTCTGCCTTAGCTTTATCCTTGACCATATTTTAATTGTTTAAGAGAAGCAGTAGAGTCTCTCTGTTCTTAGTGGCTATTTTTCCCATCAGATTATAAAACAATAAGATTATTCATTTGTGCATGACGTCTAGCATATGGTGTAGGTCCCTCATAAATAATATCTTCTATCTCAAAGTCTTTTTAAATCTCTAAGCTACTTAGCAGTTTCACTGTTTTAACTACGTATGATTTACTGCAAATTTATTTAGGGAGTGGGTATTGAGAACAAGAGTCTCCAACCCTACTGTTTATGGATTTCACTGCTGTATCTGACCCTTTCTTCCCAACCTCCCCAGGCCTTCTTCTCAGCTTTCTACCTGGTGATCTGCAATCTGCTCATATTCAAGTAGTTATGGGTTTCCTTATAGGGATGATTCAGAATGGTGCTTTTTTATTTTTTTTCATTGATACCTTTTTTAGCCATCTTTCTGAGCTCAGATTAGGGGGAACACTATAAATCACTATAAATGCATTTAATTTTGATCTTACCTTGTGGTCAAAATTGTGAGGTTAAAATCAATATCATAAAGGTAACATTTTTTCAATTCTTGTCTTTTCCACTATGGGTAGTTAACATGGAAGCTGTGGTCCCCAACTCCCAGGTACTGGGACAGGGCCGCAGAGCTCTGCCCCCTGCCACCCTCTCCAAATCTGTGGAAAATTTGTCTTGTGTGTGTGTAACTGCGGGGCAGGGGTGCCGGGGTAGGGGTGGGCGGCACACAGCAGGAGGTGAGCTCTGGGCTGGCAGCGAAGCTTCATCTGTATTTATAGCCTCTCATTGCTTGCATCACGGCCTGAGCTCTGCACACCCACCCCTGAACCCCAGGTCATTGGAAAAAGGGTCTTCCATGAAACCAGTCCCTGGTGCCAAAAAGGTTGGGGACCACTGTTCTAAAGAGAGGGAGGGAGCCGAGAGGAAAATCAACTTAAGGGTACTTCACTATCAATTAATTAATTAATTAATTAAAATATTTCCTAGCCACACACTATTTGTGAGCCCGCAGTATTTTATTAGACTGTTCATAGTGCCACAAGGAGTGTTAAGAGTGGAAGCACAAAATGCAAAAACGACGTGTACTAAATGCTAAAACTAATATAGATAGCCTAGAGCTATATAGATAATATAGACACCAAATAAGCCTGTTATTTTACTTTTTTTTAGCGTGAAAGTTTCTTAACATTGTATGTTACAGGCACAGTTTAATTGAATTGTTTAAAATACATTATAGAAATTACTACTTAATGATAAACTATGATGAATATTTTGGTAAAGAGAATAACCACCCTTGGCTTATCAGTTTATTAGAATTGTGCTCTTGAATTTTGAGTAGACTTTCATAAAATGCAAGGCCAACATGAAAGAGATTTTTATGTGAGTGTTGTGGTTTTAAGTATTTCAAATTAAAAGTAAACAATTGCTGGTGGAGATCTATAAACTGGATTTTTATTTGCTAGCCCTTATTTACCTGAAGATTTCATTTAGATGAGCTATTACTAAGTGGCAAAGAATTAGTATTTTTAAAAGCACTTAACTCATACATAAAGTGGGACTTACATATTAGAATTTTTTCATTCTAAATTTCAGCTTTCCTTTTATTAGTTTTAATTTGCCTTTTATTTCCTAAGTAGTTTGAAAAAGCTGCATAATATTGAATTTATAAGAATGTTTGACAATTTGTAGAAATTTACATATACTACAGAAATATTAAACGTCACTTATTTTATCTTTGCCTCAATTATCTTGACTGGAGCAATTGAATCACATGACTTCCAAAGGCTTTTTCAACTTTTAAGTTCAGTGCTTTTTGTTGAGGAAAGTTATGTTATCATTGCTACATTTTAGAAAATTTGAAGCTATGTAATCAAGTATGTACTAGAAATTTTACAGAGTACATTTGGTAATTAAGAAAAAAGGAAAATGTATAAAAGCTAACAAATAAATTTTGATATTTCTTTTATTTAAAAATGTACGTGACCGTAGCCACCAGTCTGGGATTTCAAATGGTGGTATGTGATTGTAAAAGATTATAGAGATCTTTTTTTGTGTATCATTTAGCATGTTGCCAATAGGAAAATAAATTCTCATACTTTTTCTTTTGCTTTTAGGATTTTCTCATTCAGCATTTACCTTTGGTATAGAAAGCCATATCAGTCAGTCCAATATAAATGGTGCCCTCGTCCCACCTGCTGCATTGATTTCTATCATCCAGAAAGGTCTACAGTATGTAGAGGCAGAAGTTAGTATTAATGAGGTAAGGAAGACTTATTTCAAATACTAATTCTTACTCTTAAATATGTCCTTAAATTAGCTGTCTGTTTGCTTATTCAGTGTCTGACTTTGGCTTCACTGGGTTAACAAAAATGCAGGTGTTATTTCTAATGTAACAGTCAGATCACACAGGTGAGGCATGTTGCTCCCAATTTTAAGGTCCATTATCTGTACCTTATTTCTCTTAATATAACTTTATAAGTAAACACTAAAAAATTACGTTTATTAATACAACAGCATTGTGCTATGGAATGCTGAGACCATAACTGATGGCCTGATAATTGGAAACTCTCATGTTATTTGGATATACTCTGATTTTGGAAGCCAGGTTATAATTGAAGCCAACTCTGGATGCTACTGCCTAAGGTCCACATATAAGTGGTTCGTTTGGCTCAGATGGCAGTATACTGTGGCCCATGAGCCAAGTCCTGGCTGCTCTTTGGGCTACTTGTGGCAGAATCAAGTAGTTTGACAGAGACCTTGTGGCCTGCAAAGCCTAAATTAATATTTATTATCTGAGTCTTTCACAGAAAAAATTTACAAATCCCTGGTCTAGCTTAAAATTTTCATATATGGCCAGGAACTCTTCCCCTTATTTTCATTTGGGAGATTAACACGTTCTCCTTTTGTGAGTATTTTTTAAACTGAAGCATCCATGATTTCTGTGATATTTATTACTATAATTACATAGTATACTAAAATTGATTTTTATTATTTTTGGTTTCTTCATTTCTGTGACTGAAAATTTCACTAATACTAAATTAAATGTGTCCTCCCTCCCACACTATGCTTTATTACAGAGGGTATAAGCAAGTTCTGCCACTGGTCAAAGATGAAGTCTAATTTTAGCTGAGAAATTTTATGTAAATTTAACATAGTATTTACTCCACAGTGTATGTGTGTTGGTTTTAGTGGTTTTTTTAGTATGTAAGTTAGAATGCTTTCTGCTATTTGTCAAATATTGGATTACAATCGATAATTCAGAAAGATGTGCTGTGTTTTTATAGCTCACAGCACCCCATCACACCACTGTAGATTGTCAGAGACTCATGTTCACCAGTTTAAGTGAACCAGGCATCACACATGCGAGTTCCTAGCTGACTTGCACTTTTTCTGTTTCTGGCATGCTCTGTGTGTCTGTCTCTCTTCTTGTGCTCACTTGGAGAACTTTCTATTAATCGTGAGCTTCCTAATATCAGTAGTGGAGCTTTGGAAATTTTAACAACTCCGTAATATTAAAGAGCACTAGCCTGTGAGTTATGATGGCACTTCTCATACGTTAGTGCAGGTAAGACTCATCCAGAGAGCTTGTTAAAATGCTGGTTCCTGAGCCTCCCTTCAGAGATTTTGATTCTGTATGTTTGAATCTCCATTTCTAACAAGCTACTAGGTGATGTTGGTGCTGTTGGTCTTTGGATCATACTTTGAATAGTACTGGGTTAAAAGATCCCAGTTGCCATTGACTAGCTGTGTAACTCTAACAGATCTTTAACCTTGTGTTTGCATATCAAGATTAGTAAAATGAGATGACTGTATGGCATAATATCTGAATTCTATTTCTGCTTTAATGTTTTAAATCACAAGAAATTTTTGAGTCTAACAAAGCTATTTTTAAAGGTTTTGGTTTTTTAAAAGAAGTATTTGTTATAGCACCAAGCTACTAATCATTGTGTGAACAATTCCATATTGATTGTTGCTTTTCACTAACAGCATTTTGAAATCTAATTAATCATTTTATCATCTGGGCCTACATTTTATTATCCCTCTCAATTTTCAGCGGTGACTTGTATTTTGGCTCTACTGTACAAGCATTTAACAATAACATGAACTAAGTGACAAGGAAGACTTAACAGCCATTTGCAGTTGCCTCTTGCAGTTTCTTTCTTCCTTCCCTCCTGACTTCTTTTTACATGAGTTCAGAAAATTTCTAACAGTGTTTTTCTTGGAATGAAGATTTTCATTTCTGCTGTTGAATTTGTATGAATACAAATAACCTTAAATATTACCTTTGATTTTTCTTCTCTTGAAATTTTCCAAACCTAGGATGGTACCTTGTTTGATGGTCGACCAATAGAGTCTCTGTCCCTGATAGATGCCGTAATGCCTGATGTAGTACAAACAAGACAACAAGCTTATAGAGATAAGCTTGCACAGCAACAGGCCGCAACTGCCGCAGCTGTCACAGCTACAGCTAACCAACAAGGATCTGCAAAAAATGGAGAAAACACAGCAAATGGGGAGGAGAATGGAGCACATACTATAGCAAGTGAGCTGAGATAAGAATGTTTAAAAATTTCTTTTCAGAGGACATATTTTGCTTTACTGGAATGTCCCATCTTCTAAGCTGAAATAACTTCATCTGTTTTATTTATACCAACTTATTCTTCTAACTTGTATCACACCATTCAGATTTTTATTACTTAAAGCTCCAAAAAGCTACATTTATTTTTATTGACTTTATTTTCTTTTAAAAATATTTAGAAATTCTTTTTCCATTGTTTAGTGAATTTTTACATCTGCATTTGATTTCTAAATAAAATTTGTAATACTGGTTATTAACAAATACTATAAAGCTCCAACATTGAGATATAAAGTCAACTCTAATGTTATATGAATGATATCAGCAGCCCCTACTGGCAGAAACTCAGAATAGTACTGGTGTACATTATATTTAATTCAAACCATTTTATCATTTTAGCTATGTTTAGGTCTAATCTTTTACATTCCTCCTTCTCCCCCTGCCTCCCTGCCCCTCTAAACACATACCCACACAAATACTTTTAAAAATAGTATGATCATACTTAAGATAGGAATTTATTTTCCATATGACAAAACTGTTTAGTCATGTTTAGCTTAACCTGACGTAGTAAAAAATGTTACACTGTATATTATAAAGGAAGAATTTCCCCCCCCAGGATGTTGTAATATTACGTAACTGGAATTATCCACTTGTTTCTTGTAATGCAGATAATCATACTGATATGATGGAAGTGGATGGGGATGTTGAAATCCCTCCTAATAAAGCAGTTGTATTACGGGGCCATGAATCTGAAGTTTTCATCTGTGCCTGGAACCCTGTTAGTGATCTTCTGGCATCGGGGTATGTTTCTCAAAGTGGTACTAAAATAGCTTTTTCAAATATCTTACTGAACTATTAATACATTTTATAAATATATTTTCAGGTTTTTGTTGTTGCTTATTTGTGATCATTTTGTCTGTGTAAATCTTAATTCTTCATGAAGAAATTTTAGAAGTTTTGTTTAAACTTAACTACTTCAAGAATGCTTGGAGGCCCCAAAAAGTAGAATGGGAAAAATACTGGAAATGGAAATTCTCGATAGTCTAGTTTTTATTTGCCTTATTAATAATAGGATGCAAATATGTTGCTTTGATTGTGATACTTGAGAATGTCATGAGAATTCAAAATCTGTTGTATACTTTGAAGGTCTGGAGACTCAACAGCAAGAATATGGAATCTTAGTGAAAACAGCACTAGTGGCTCCACACAGTTAGTTCTTAGACATTGTATACGAGAAGGAGGGCAAGATGTTCCAAGCAACAAGGATGTAACGTCTCTAGACTGGAATGTGAGTATCACTATTGTTGGTGATGGATAATTCTCAGAGCCTGAGACTGATGGCAGAGTTTGTCTATTTGTTCAGATATTTTTGGATTTCACTACCTGGTAACAACAAACTGGGAGCCCCGCTCCCAAATGTGGTGTTAAAGACAAAGGCTGGCCCCTCGAGTAGTCAGACCACGGTTCGACTTCCAGCTCCTCAGCTTATTTAGCAGCATATCCTGGGTAAAGTTGTTACTCTGCACTCTGCATTTCATTTTCCTTACGTGTAAAGTAGAAGTGTGAAAATTGAAAATGGTAGCTACATAAATGAGGTAGTGAGTAAATGTCCCTAGCACAGTAACAGACAACATCTTAAATGCTTCACAGATGAGTCCTTAGTTGGGGGGTAAAAGAAATCTACTTAGCAAAAAACTCTTTCTTGTTTTTTTCGTTTTGCTGTGAACTGATAAAATTTCATTGCCAACTGTCTTTTAGGGACCGTTAGTCTAGATTACTTCCAAGATTTATTCTAGCTGTTTGGAATCTTAAAATTCTCTGATTCTATGTATGTATCAACATCTTTCAGGATAACTTGACTACTGTGACTTACAAAATAGTTTGATTTTGTTGTTGATAAATCTTCACCCTTTCAGTTTCAAATGCATCTCTTACCTGCACAGTGCCCCTAACCCCCAAGGCTCTTGGATTATTTCAGTGTTACAAAGAATATCAAGAGTTAGCTGTCCTTCCTCAGCAAATGAACATTCTTTCCTTCTCTTGCCTCTGTTCAACAACTTTTTATGGGGTTTCCAAATGATCTTCCAAATCCCATTCCAAGGAAGGAGATCTGTCTTTAAAACTGATTATCCCAGCTAAAGCTTTTAGTTTCTGTGAAATTCTTTCAGAACTCATAACTAGGTATTTTTAGCATTTTCTTCTAAAATTTCCAGCAGTGTATTTAACCTCCTCCTATAAAGTGTTGACAATTCTCAAAACTCAAAAAGGGATTAGTACATTGTAGTATAATTTGCTTGCAGGATCAGGACTAAGAATTAATATGCATTGTTATTGTATCTTAAATCAAAGACGTTATAGCTTTCTTATACTACCTGGCCTAGTAACCATGTTAATTTAATGAAATTTACAGTTTACACTGAAAAGGACAATTAATGAACATTGGTTTGTTGAACGTGGTGATGTTGAACTACGTTTTGAAAAGCGTGGGCTTTTCACTGTGAACTTGAAACTTTTACTAAAAGGGAGAAAACATCACCCTCAATTAATGATTCTTTTCCATTTCTAAAGCAAGAGCGTATGAGATGTCTGATCTTTAAAGTATTCTTTTTGTAGTTGAGTATTTCTACAGCTAAAACATTTTGGGACCAGTAGTTTAGAAGAAACTTGGCATTGTGCAGAATCTGGAAATAAGCTTTTGCTATTGGCTTCAGTGTACCTCCTTATTCCCTAGATAGAACCCTGAGGGATTTCCAGATCCTAGCAGAACTGAGTCTGCAATTCCCAGAACCACTGTTTGTTTGTTTGTTTGTTGGTTTGTTTGTCACTTACCTATACAGCTAAATGGCTTGAAAGGTATGAAATAGGTGATCTTGTTTTGAATGCCGTTACCAAAAAGCTTCAAGAAGGTGCCAAGTAAGGCAGGATTTCATTCTGTATCTCCAATAATGTTTACTCATTCCAGCATGAATCTGTTTAATGTAATCTATTAATAAAACTTTTGCATTTGCATAGAGTAAGTAAGATCTGTCCTGCCCTTACACCATTCATCAAGGCAAGGCACAGCAAGGGAATATAAATTCAGAGAAATTTACATGGATTTTTCCTCATAGTAAAGTAGGTAATTGTACTTACTTCATTAACTAAAGTCAGCCTGCACTCTTCTCTGGCTCTTTTCCTTGCATTGCTCTTTTTATTGGTAAATATTTCAGAGTGGAAGAAATTAAAAAAGGAAAGAAACGTTCAGTGTTAAGAATCCGGTCATCTCTCCAGGTTCATCCATGTTTTCTCCAAAAAAGAAAGAAAGAAAGAATCGGGGCATCTGAAACAGCACTATAGTTTGGATCATATACACTTTGTTTAGATAGTAAAGGGTTTAGAGGGATGGGCATATAAAAACTTCTAATCATAGTTAAATATTTAGGAAGTTTTTTTTTTACTTCTGTTAAATCATTGTAAGGTTATGATTTTGATGTCCTTCCTAACCTGCCGTCCCACCTCCATTCTTAGCTGTGTGCATCTGTGAAGAGACTGGAGATCTCCGGCATGCGTGAGGGTGGTGTGCTGATCCTGCTCCAGAGCAGCTGCTGTCGTTGTTGAGATTTGGGTGTAAGGCTCACACACAGCACTAGCTTCACTGCAGTGAACGGTGTCTCACAGCCTTTGGTGGCACTCACAGATAGGCAAAACTGATAAGTTTTGAAGCAGAGAATGTGAAGGTCTGCTGTATCTGGGATTTAAACATAAAATATTTTTAGTGACTATTAAGTGCCTTTTCTGGATTATGTAATGGAAAAAGTGTTTTTCTCTGGCAGAGTGAAGGTACACTTCTAGCAACTGGTTCATATGATGGATTTGCCAGAATATGGACTAAAGATGGTAAATGAAGCATTTTTCTTTTTATTTTTTTGTTCATCTAAATTATAAAGTTTGAAGTAATTTTAATGTTTTTCTTTTTCGAATTTTAGGTAACCTTGCTAGCACCTTAGGGCAGCATAAAGGCCCCATATTTGCGTTAAAATGGAATAAGAAAGGAAATTTCATACTAAGTGCTGGAGTAGATAAGGTAAAAGAACATTAAACTAAGTTCTGTAAAAGTTAATGTATTACAGGGTTTAATTGAAAGCGATACTTTTTCTTCTCTGCTAATCACATAAACAGAAGATTCACATTTAGGAAATTCAGGTATGAATTTATGATAATAATAAAAATGCTTTCTTAGGTTTTCTGTCAGCTCATTCCTAAATCTACTCATTCAAATGCCCTTTATCCTTTATCCCTGTGACTGCTCCTCATTTTTATTGGAATCTGAACCATAATGAATGTTACGCCTCCTGTACGTTTTGCTTCACTTCCACAGTTCTGGTTTATCTCATCAGTGAGTGTGGCTCTGGAGTGAGTACGTGGCAAATACTAGAGCCAGTTTGTTAGCCCAACTCCTGGTATTTATTGAAACTTTAAGAAATGCACGATCTGTCTAGTTTTCTTCATTTAACTAGACTGGTGAATATGGTTGAGTTGAAAATATGGTCTCCTTCATTTCCTGAGGTCATCTCCTCTGCCACACCTCCCAAAAAAGGATTTAACATGATTATTTTAATCCAGGAAAGGACATGCTAATAGTTGAATGTTGTGTCAGATAGGGATGTGGAGAGAAACTGGTTCAGGGTTTTATGTATTCACTGAGCAATAAAAAAGTGACAAAGGGAAAGAAAAGTGGAGGCCGGGAAGGGTAGAGAAGAGCCCTATTATTAGTCACTGCCACTATATAGTACTTTAGGTCCTTGTTTTAAATATCGTCAAAGTTCAAGCTGCCTTTATGTAAATGGGGGCTTTAAAAATCTTTCAATATTGAGAACTTACTGATTACATTATTAACCAGGAATCTGCTCTCTTCTAGCTAAACAACTGTAAGAATCTTATGTTAAATATACTGTTGTAATGGAGTTTCTTAGTAATCTAATATAATGCCTGGCACTTTGTAGACAACCAAGAATTGTTATTTGAAGTAAGTTCAGTGATGCAGAATCATCAGGGAAAAATTAAACTGTTTAATAGTCATTTCCTCCCAAAGTCGAGTATATCCTTGTACTATTTGGAATAAAGTAAATGTTTAAAATTAAATCTACGCTGACATTTCATATTGCTTTAATATAGTTAGGCATCTAAGATAAACTTCTTTTCATGGTAATTTATTTTTCTTTAATCTCAGACCACAATTATTTGGGATGCACATACTGGTGAAGCCAAGCAACAGTTTCCTTTTCATTCAGGTAAATTTTTACAATTTACATGAAAGTTGGAGCTTTCTTCTATTTTTCTAATTAAACTTTTAACAGCACGTAATTCATTCAAAATCTTGAAATACCAGATATCAGTCTTGTTACTAATCATTTCAGGAGTTGATGTTCCTTGACATTCAGATTGTTAATTGTCAAAGAATCATCAAACATTTTCTGTGAAATGTACCATAAAGAAAGCCTTTGCAGTGTGGTGCAGTTAGGGATGGTATTATGTAATGGAAAGAGCATAGATTTTTTGTTATTTTATTTTTAAGTCCCTAAATGTTCTCCAGGACAGCATAGATTTTTTGAGTCAGAAGGTCGAGTGTCGAATGTCAGTTCTACTTCACTTAACAAGCTTTAGGACTAAGCACGTAACTTAACCTTTCTGAGCCTTGCTTTCATTGTCTATACATGAGGGATAATAATAATGCGTGTTTGTTATGAGGATAAAACTAAATTATACATACAAAATATTGTATAAACTCCTACAAATTTTCTCATTTTGAAGTGATATCTAAGTCATTCCTCCTGTGTACAGGAAATAAAAAAACAGGCTTTCCCAGTGTTGTTGGAACTGTGGTGGCTAAGATGGATTTCTGTTTTAAGTAGTATGTAGTATTCAATCTGGTCCTTAAATCTGATCAGTCTGACCCCTAAAATTGTGCTTCTTCCTGCTTCCTGCGTGATAGACAGCTATGCGCCAGGGCATTCAACTTGAGTAGAGACTGGAGTTTTTAGTACCTGCACTCCCTTTCAGCCTGGGACCCTTGTGCCTGCTTTCAGTGAGTTTTCCTGACTGCAGTGACTAAATGATGTTAAACTGGAACAAGATTCCCAGTAACTGTTAGAACAGTAATTTTAGTACTACCTGATTTAGCTGCTTCTTTCAGAATTTTGTTGTGATTGGGAAGAGTTTTGATTAGGAGGCTGGCTAAAATAACCCTGGTTATTCTCAAATCTTTCGTAAACCTTTTATAAACAGCCAAGGGCACTGCATTACCTGTAAAATGGAAACTTGCAGCTTCAGGCATTTTGCTTTTTTTTTTTTTTTCCCTTTCTCTATTTTGTATGACTAAACAAGCCAAATACGGTGCAAAATGATTTTTCTGTAGTATCTGAATAACATAAATTTGTAAGCATTATGTTAAGCAATTCAGCTTGATTAAATCTTACCCTACTAATAAGCATTTACACATCAGTTTTTGTTTACCCGTTTTACTTCCTTTTCACCTTTGTTTCTAGTCCTCACCCAGGTAGAATTTATTAGGTTTCTGGCTATTCTTCCTAAAAATTTCTCATAGATACGAGAAGTGATGAAAAGCCGAAGTAAATATATGTGTGGTACTATTACTAGCTACGATATTAATGAGTACCAACTTCATGCTAGAGATGGTACTCCTTTTCTCCCATTTAGTCCTGAATACAACCCAGTGGGGTAAATAGTGTTGAAGTCTTTTTACAAATAAATAAGCTTCAGTTTACTCATGATATTCTTTCTTACTATGCTTTTGTTTTTAAACAGTTTTGTTGAGGTATATTGACATAAAATGAACTATACATATTTAACTTGAACAATTTGATGTGTTTCAACATGTGTACACCATTGAAACTATCACCACATTCAAGATAATGAATACGTCTGTTACCTTCAAAAGTTTCCTCCTGCCCCTTTGTGATATTTCTGTCCTGTCCGCAGGCAGTCACTGATATTCTTTGTCATACTCTTTTGGTCTGGCTTCTTTCACTCGGCATAATTATTTTGAATTCTTCCATGTTGTAACATATCAGTGGTACATTCCTTTTTGTTGCTGGTAGTATTCCTTTATGCGGCTATACCACAGTTTATCTGTTCAACTATTGAGGTAAATTTGTGTTGTTCCCAGTTTGCGGCTATTATAAATAAAACTACTCTCAACATTCATGTACAAGCTTTTACATGGACATTTTTACTTTCTTCAAATCCCTAATAGGGAAATGGCTATATCATATGTTAGATGTATATTTAACTGGTTAAGAAACTGCCAAACTGTTTTCCAAAGTAGTTTACATCTCACTAGCCCTGGATATTTTAGTTGCTCTATATTTTTGCCAGCTCCCTGTATGTAAATCATTTCTTTTAATTGTAGCTACTCTAATAGACGTGTAGTGATATCTCACTATGGTTTTAATTTACATTCCCTAATAACTAGTGATGTGGAGCATCTTTTCATATGCTTATTTGCCATCTGTATATCTTCTTCAGTGAAGCGTCTGTTCAAATTTTATCTAATTGGGGTTTTTTTTTTTTTTTTTTAGTTATTGAGTTTTTGTGAATTCTTTGTAGTTTCTAGATACAATCCTTTTTCAGGTATATACTTCGCACATATTTTCTCCCAGTCTGTGGCTTATCTTTGCATTCTTTCATCAATGTCCTTCAAAGACCAGAAGGTTCTTAATTTTGATGAATTCCATAATTTAATAATTTGTTCTTTTATGTGTCATGCTTTCAATGCCAATCTAATTTGCTCATTTTCTCTTTTCTTGAGGTGGAGGCTGAGGTTATTGATTGAGACCTAATATAGGTATTTCGTGCTATAAATTTACCTCTAACTACTATTTAATGGCATCTCAATATTTTCTGTATGTTGTGTTTCATTCAGTTCATAATACTTTCTAATTTAATTTTGATTTCTTCTTTGGCGCATTGGCTATTTAGAAGTGTTTACTTAGTTTCTGAGTATTTGGGGCTTTTCCAAGATTTTTTTTAATAGTGATTTTTAATTTAATTCCATTATTCCTGTAAATGTCATTTAGGTAAAGTTGTTTGATAATGTTTAAATCTTTTATAGCCTTACTTGATTTTCTGTCTTGTCATTCCATCATTTATTGAGAGAGAAGTATTGAAATCTTCAACAATAATTAAAAACACATAGTTTCTATTTCCTTTGAAGCTCTGTCAGTTTTTGCTTCATGTATTTTGAGAAAATGTTATTAGGTATTAGGTGCATGAACATTTGGGAAATGTTTTACCTTATGTTGGATTGACCATTTATCATTTTGTAAATGATCCTCTTTTTCCCTGTTAATAGTCTGTGCTTTGAAATCTGCTTTGTCTGCTATTATAGCGATTTCAGCTCTCGTTTGATTAATGTTGGCATGGTATATATTTTTCCATCATTTTATTTTCAGTCTATCCCTATCTTTATATTTGAAGTATATTTTATACAGGCAGCATAAAGTTGAGTCTTGCTTGTCTTCATTCAGTCTTCATTCAGTCTCACAGTCTCTGCCTTTTAATTATTATATTTAGGTAATTTATATTTAATGTGATTATTCATGTAGTTACATTTAAATTTATTGTATTTCTGTTGTCTCTTCTGTTCTTTTTGTATTTCTGCTTCCATTTGGGTTAATTGACTTTTTTTCATGATTTCATTTTTTTCTCTTTTGATAAGCTATATTACCTGTAATTCTTTGTTTTATTTTAGTGGTTGCATTAGAATGTATACAGCTTATCACCATCTACCTTGAAGTGATATTCTAAATGATGTAAATAATGATCTTATTTTCTGCCCCCTCCTCACACCACTACCCTTTTCATCTAAGATTCTGTGAAGTTGTCCCACAACTTGGTGACATTCTGCTCTTTTATTTCCTCTTTTTTTTTTTTTTCAGTCTTTGTTTTCTTTGTTTTTCGATAGTTTCTATGCTGCCTTCAAGTTCACAGATCTTTTCTTCTGTAGCATCTAATCTGTGGCTTATCCTATCCAGTGTATTTTTCGTATCGCGTGCTGTAGTTTTTATTTCTAGACGTTTGGTTTAACATATTCCATGTCTCTGCTTAACTTTTTGAACATACGGTACAGTTAACCTTTGAACAAGGTAGGGCTTAGGGACACTGGCTCCCTGTGTAGTCAAAATATGCATATAACTTTTATAACTCCCTCGAATCTTAACTACTACTAATAGCCTACTGTTGACTGGAAGTCTTACTGATAACATAAACAGTTAACACATATTTTGTATGTTATATGTATTATATACTATATTCTTAGAATAAAATGAGCTAAAAAATGTTATTAAGAAAATCATAAGGAAGAGAACATATATTTACTATTCATTAAGTGAAAGTGGATCATCATAAAGTTCTTCATCCTTCTCATCTTGATGTTAAGTAGGCTGAGGAAAAAGAGGATGAAGAGGGGTTTGGTTGATCTTACTGTCTCAGGTGGCAGAGGTGGTAGAAAATCCACATATTAGTGGACCTGCACATTTCAAATCCATGTTGTTCAAGGGTTAGCTGTATATACTTGCAGTTGATTGAGTGTTGTTGCTAATTCTAACATCCGTCTCTTCTATGTTGTTTTTAATGATTTGACTTCTCCATTTTGGTCCTGATTTCTTGTGTATTTGCTTGCCTGCTTCACTTCTGATTGGAAGTGAGACATTGTGAATTTTACCTTGTTGGTTGCTAGATATTTTTGTATTGTTATAAATTATTGTGAAATTTGTCCTGGAACTCCAGTTAAGTTACTTGGGAATGGTTTTGATCTTTTGGATCTTGCTTATAAGATTTGTTAAGTGGCACTGCAACAGTGCTCAGTGTAGGGCTAATTATTTCTCCACTGTCGAGGTAAGAACTTCATGTGTACTCTAACCAGTGATTCATGAATCATGAGATTTTCTTGTCTGGGTTGTGGATATAGGCACCATTCCCAGCCTTGAATAGCAAGCACTGTTTCTTTGTATCCTTTTGAGGCGTTCTTTTCTGGTCTTAACTAATGTTTTCACACACTTATGCTGATTAGTACTCAAATAACATGAGCAGGACCCGTTGCAGGTCTTAGTAATTCTCTGTGTAGCTCTCTCCTTTTGAGTACTCTGTTCTGTGAATTGTAGCTGTCTTGGTCTTCCTAGACTCTCAGCTTTGTTTCTGCAACTCAGGAATTCCATTGATCTCTTCCAGGGGGAATTCCTCTTCCTTGCCCTGAGACCTAGACCTTTTTTCCAGATTGCAAAATCATGTAATTATAATGGGACCACTGCTCTTCGTTCCCTGATGTCCAGTGTCTTAAACTATTATGTCACATAAGTTGCAAGTTTCTTGGTTGTTTTGGGCAGGAGGTAAATCTGGCCCCTTGTTACTCTATTTTGGCCAGAAATGGAAGTATACCAGGCTTTTAAAATTACCATATTAATTATTATACTATATTTTCTTCCATGTATACTCATATATAAAACATAGACGATTATGATATATGCTAGATGAGTTACAATGAGATACTGCTTTACACCTATTAAGAGTGCTATACTAATAAAAATTGAAAAATAGCAAGTGTTCACGAGAATGTGGAGAAGTTAGGATTCTGTACATCACTAGTGGGTATATAAAATGGTACAGCTGTTTTGTAAAATAATGTGACAGTTTCTCAAAAATCAAAATATGGAGTTACCGTATGACATAGCAGTTCCATTCCTAGGTCTATATTCAAAAGAATTGAAAGCAGGAGCTTGAACAGAGATTTGTTTGCCAGTGTAAATGACAGCATCATTGACAGTAGCCAAACAGATGCTGGATAAACAAAACGTTGTATTAGTGAAGTAAGCCAGATATAAAAGGATAAGTAGTACGATTCTATTTATATTAAATATTTAGAATAGGCAAGTTCATAGAGACAAAAAAGTAGATTAGAGGTTACCAGGAGCTAGTGGGAGGGGGAAATGGGGAATTACTGCTTAATGGTTATAGGGTGTCTGTCTGGCGTGATGAAAAAGTTTTAGAAGTAGTGGTGATGATTACACATTGTGAATATAATTAATGCCACTGAATTGTATACTTAAAAATGGTTAAAATGACAAATTTAGTGTTATATATATTTGATCATAAATTTTAAAGATTAATAATGTAATATATCAAAACCAATGAATTGGATGCTTTAAATTGGTGAATTGTATGATATGTGAATTATATCTCATAAAGCTGTTTTTTAAAATAAAAAAAAAGTGAGTAATAAATGTGCCCTTTCCCCTTCCATCATAGGTTTGTTCTTTCTCTTTATAAATTATGGAGGCTACATGGGTTAATGAGAATAAATCAGAATGGGTGGAGGCAGAAATTTTAATATTAGCTCCAGGATTTCAAAAACTTGTAAGAACTCTGGGAAAACTAACTTTTCTTCACCTCTTTTATCATGTGTAAAATGAGACCAGTAATAGTGAACACACTTCTTAAATTGGGTACGTAAAAATACATTTTATGTTAGAGATATATTCCTAAAGAACTTGTACTATGTAGACTCATTTTAGGAATAAAGTAAAGGAAGTATGTGTTCTTAGATTACATCAGTCTATAACCATTATATTTTATGAGCCAGACATATCACAGAAGTCTTAATGATAAAACTCATGTTTACAACATTCCCTAGCTCCCAAAAATCTTTACTTTGTTATTTAGTTTGGTTTTGCATTTTCTGAGCCTAATGGTGTATTTGTTTTAATGCTACTTTTTATTTTCTCAGTGTCCTCTCTAACATTTTGCAGACTGCCGTATATGAAATCAACATTGTGACGCATCACGATAGATATTTGGCCTTCTTCATAACATTTTATTGTATCTTTATCTTCTAAATGAATTAGATTTTTTCACCCCCCCCTTCTACTTGTTAACACTAGAACAATTATTTACCAAATAATTGTTAAAATTTTTTAAATGATATTTTAAGTAATAATATTTAACGTTAAATTGAAAGTATAGTAGTTACTGAAACAGGTTCCAGGCAGGAAAACAGAATCTAAACCAGATAGTCCAAGAAAGGGAATTTAATACAAGAAAATAGTTGCAGTGGAAAGAATGAAAAACAGAGGACTATGAGGTAACCCAGAGATTAGCAACTGCAGGAGACCTAAGCCTGTCCAGTAGGCATTGGAGCTGTGAGAGAGGCTGCCTGGCAAGAGCAAGAGCCACGGGTAGACACCCAGCCTGACAGTGTCTTTCATTATATAAACCCATCTGGAAACCAGTAGGTGCAAGAGCCTGGGAAATATAATTTACAATAGTGAGCCCTCCTGGGTTGCAGAGCATAGTGGGGAATAGTATGGTAAGGAATGAATCTGAGAGTAGGCTGACAAATGAACAGGACAGTCATCCACATTGCTGTCAGAAGCTGTGATACCCATAAACAGAGTTCACACACCATGTTGATAAAAGTTGGCCTGTGTTTTCTGTTTACTGGCTGATTTAGGTTGGATTCTTCCAAAAGGCAGACAGGCTCTGAGCCATATATTTGAGTGAAGTGATTTATTGAAGAAACCTTCCCAGGAGAAACAAGTGAAGAAATACTGGAAGCAGAATGGGGAAGAGGGAAGTAGCCAAGGAAGGATGTGATTTCTGTTGAAGAAGGCCCAGTCTTAGCCTGATCCAGAGGGGAGCTTTGGAGTATTTATTGCTCCTCAGAATTTCTCTTATCTTGAGCCAAGGGTACTAGGGTTTTAAATTCCCCCTCCCTCCCTTTGAATAAACCACATCCCACTAGCCTTTGTGTACTAATCAGCCGGGGGGACACAGCCACAGAACAGGGCTGTTCTGTGCAGTTTGCTACTCTTAGCAGTGAATCACTCAGAAGCTGGGAATTGGACACATAGCATGGGTGCGAAGGTCTGTGGAAGGAAAGATCAAACACCAGCTAAAGTAGTGCTACTGTATGACAAGAACAGAAGCATGGCCTAGTTTACTCAGCTCGCCAGCTCTAAAGTTATGTGATTCTTGGTTATTTTTTTTAACTTGATGGGAGTTCTCATAATTTGAAATTTTGTATAAAAGGTGAATTTATGTTAATATTTTTATATGCCTCTGTGTTTTTCATAAGATCACTTGGGGGAGGGTTAGATATTATATATAGTATTATAATAATATATATATATATTTTAAATTTCATACCCTCTCCATAGTAAGTTCCCATCAAATATTTTCTACCCCATCTTGTAAATATTTCTTTGCTTTATAAGCTCACTAAATCCAAATAGTGTCTTCATACCTTGTTTTTCATCATAGACATATACCCAAAACTAGTTCTTTAATGTCTGGTCACATTAGTACCGTTAGCTTTTTTGAGCTGTACTTTACGATTTTGGTTTTACCTGATTTGTCTTTAACTAGTTAATAAAATCAGTTTCACTCTAGCTTGTTGTCCTGTGTCTTACTCTAGTTCTGAAAATCCTGATTAAATTTTCCTTTCTGAATCATCAGTGCTTTGAGTCTTCCTTTTCCTTTCTTTTTTACTGTTTCTGTCCATAGTTGTAAGTTCTCATACATGACATATATCCTCAGGTTATCAGTCTAATTGCTCAAAACACTTGTTTATAATATGTTTAGTTTTAACATAGCCTGTTACTATTATACTTAGTTCTTAATATATACAGTGAGAGAGTGGCTTTGTTTTTCCTTCTCATAGAGACCAGCTCTGATCTCTAGAGACCATCTCATAGAGACCATCTCTGATCTCTTAAATGTTTATGTCTCTAACAATTAGCATGCATAGCTTAACTTTAACCCTCCTGTTTTTGTCCTTGTAAGTTTTCCCTCTAAATCAGGGGTTAAGTTTCATGTGATTTGTGTCTTCCTTTGATTCCCCCACTCAACTAATTGCAGTGTAAAAACTTCTTGTCTCTTATGCCATAGTGTGTTGATCCCTGCTTTAAATCAGTGTTCTTGGTATGCGCCTGTTGCTTAACCCAATTACTTGGTATCATTACCTTAATCTGTGTTGCTAATTACAGAGAGCCTTTGCACCTTACAGCAGGGGAAAATGAGGGGAAACCATGTTTAATCATACTGGAGCTAACATCAGATTAGATATTTAAATGTCAGGAGCTTTTGGGCTTCTGAGGTTTTAAATTCAATGATTTTTAAGAGGTATTCGATTTTAAGAGGTATTTGACGAAAATAAATTTTAAGAAGTATTTGACAAGAATTGCTTAGAAGAAAATGTATTTGCAAATCATATGTAATATTCTGTTTATTAGTTGAATAGATGATAATGGAAATGATACTTAGACCAGTGTAACATTTGTCTAACTCTTGTAATTTACAAAGTACTTTCTGCACACATTGTCTCACTTGATCCTCACATCATCTTTCTATACTAAGCTTAAAGGTGGTACAGATTGAGTATCCATCCCTTATCCAAAATGCTTGGGACCAGAAGTGTTTCAGATTTTGGAATATTTGCATGTGTATAATGAGATATCCTGGGGATGGAACCCAAGTCTGAACATGAAATTAATTTATATTTCATATATACCTTATACACATAGCCTGAAGGTAATTTTATACAGTATTTTTTTTTTTTTTTACTAATTTTTGTGCATGAAGTAAAGTTTGTGTTAATGTGTAATTTTCCACTTGTGGCGTCATGTTAGCACTCAGTTTCAGATTTGGGAGCATTTTAGATTTCAGATTTTCAAATTAGGAATGTTCAACCTGTATGTTATCCCCATTTTTAAATGAGGAAATATGATAAGAGGTCAAGTGGCTTGCTTGGGTCCACTAATAGGCAATGGCAGAACAAGGTTTTCTTTTTCGTTGAACACGCGTAGATTTTTAGAAATAACAAGAATAGCATCACATTTACTTTTGTCATTTTTGAAAAGAGAACCTAAGACCCAGTGCTAGAAATTTATAGAGCAAACTCTAAGAAACCCTAATCTCCTAGTTATTAGGCCAGTGTACTTTCTGTTAGGCTGTGACTCACACAGATAACTAAGCTGAAATTAATATTTGCAATATTTAAATATTTTGTATTTTTTTCTTAGTATCTTAAAGTTTGAAGTAAAATGTTTAAGTTCCTATTAGTGTATTTAATTAGCTTAACCATGGTTGATAGCTGTAGCTCCTAGCTTTTAGTACATGTGGAATAATGCAAACCTAACCTTTGTTCCTTTCCAGCACCAGCATTGGATGTTGATTGGCAGAGCAACAACACCTTTGCTTCTTGTAGTACAGATATGTGCATTCATGTCTGTAAATTAGGACAAGACAGACCTATTAAAACATTCCAAGGACATACGGTGAGAAACTTTTTTTCCCCATAAAGTCATTATGATGAACAAATAATGTTAAACAATAGTTTTGATATATGTATGTTTATTATTCAAACAGCAACCCAGTTTATAAAATGAAAATGTGAATATTTACTGTTATTTTTAGAATGAAGTAAATGCTATCAAATGGGACCCAACTGGCAACCTCCTGGCCTCCTGTTCGGATGACATGACTTTGAAGGTAATTGAGTTAGTGGGAAGAAATGGGATGGGGTGACATGCAGTGTGGCTACTTGGCCATTTTAAGACCATTTAGAATGTATCTTTTACATTGACTATTTAAGCCTCGATGAGGATTTGTCCTAATTTTTAGTGGTTAATCATTGTTTTTTATATTTTTAAAAATATATAAAAATACTTGAATATAACAAATTCTATTAAACAGATAGCTGTACAATGGGAATTATGATACTATATTAGTAAGGGCTCTCCAGGGAAATAGAACAGATAGATAGATGAGAGATCTATTATGAGGAATTAGCTCACATGATTATGGAGGCTGAGAAGTTCCATAATCTGCTTTCTGCAAGCTGGAGACCCAGGAAAGTTGGTGGTGTAGTTCCAGTACAAATTCCAAGGCCAGAGAACCAAGAGTGCCAATGGTGTAAAGTCCTAGTCCAAGAGCAGAAGACCAACATCTTAGTTCAGCAGCCAGTGACAGAATTTTCACTTCCCCCACCTTTTTGTTCTATTCAAACCTTCAAAAGCCTGGATGAGTCCCATCCATATCGAGGAGGTCAGTTTGTTCTCCTCAGTCTGCTGATTCAAATGTTAATCTTATCTGGAGACACCCTCACAGACACACCTAGAAATAATGTTTAACCAAACTTCTGGGTACTCCATGACTTAGTCAAGAAGACATATGCAGTTAACTATAGTATAGGTGTATATATATATACTTATATATAGTTAACTATATAGATAGTAAGAAAGGTCTTGTTAAAAATTGTATTCATCATTAGAAAGTATTTGCACATGTAAAGATTTGACTAATATGTACTCAAGATCTTTGTAGCATTCGTGGATTTGACTGAAATTCTATGAATTGTATTAACTTGATACTGCTTTTGTGCGAATTCATGTCACCCTTACTGGGAAACATATATAGCAGAAAATTTCTTAGTGAGTGAGCCTAGTGGACATGTCAATATCCTCATCTCAACATGAATTTTTTTTTCTTGTTGTGCGACTAAAAGCAAAATTGATAGCTTACACCTAAGCTCACCACATTCCACAGTTGGGGAAAAAAGAATTTTGAGGTGAAGAACAACCTATTACTAATCTCCAAAATAAATGAAAACTTGAGCCCTCTCCTGTAATAGCTAACTCTGTACCAAAAACAATTTTGTTCTTGACTTGGCAGTACCAGTCACTGCAGTTGTGATGACCCTTACAGATATGATAATCATGAGGGGAAAATACTTTTCCTCCTACCGTGAACGGACTAAATGTAACCTTGGGAACCCTTATGGGTGTTTTTCCCTAAAAGTACTTGGTGTGTTTTTAGGTAGGAAGTTTTCAAGTTTGGGTTCCCTTGAAAACATTGCTAGTAAAAATGCTTTTATCTTTGAGTTTTCTTTGCATGCACGTGCATTAATGCTTACAAAATGAAAAAATTTCTTTGGAACAGCATGTAGCACATAAGAGGAAGTGATAGAAGGCCGATATGAGAAAATGATACTACTGTCCAAAGAGTCTTGTGTCATATGGATTGAGTTGCAGCTAGAGAGAAAGGTTGGAGCTAGAAATTGTTAGAAAGCTTTTTTCATCTAAGAATAAAAGGTAACATAAGATTTTAAAGCAGAAACTAGGTGGATGGAGAAGGTGTAATGGAACCATTTTCTGAGAGGAGAGAATACCAGATGGAGCGAGAAGATCATGTCGAGCTTGAGTATCTTTGAGTCATTCAAGTGGAGGTGATAGGTGGGTCTGATGCTCAGGAAAACTCTTGAGGTGAAAAATTGGAAATTCTCAGCAGGTGGGTGGTCATTGAAAGCCTTTGGAATGGACAAAACTGTGTAAGTAGAAAGCACAGAGTAAGAAAAGAAAGAACCTAAAAAAATAAGTCTTAAGAAACTTATAACAATTACCATATCAAGAGGGATGAGCTTCCCAAAGGAAACTGAAAAGGGATTTCTACAGTGGAAAGAGTGGGTATGTGGAGAAGAATATTTCAAGGGAGGTGAGGAATGAAAGTGGCCGAAAATATCAAATGCTATTGAAAGGTCTAATAAAATAAGTCCCGGAAGTATGTCTTTTGGATTTATTTTATTTGGAGTTGTAAATACCTGGGGTGCAAAAAACACATGCTGTTGATTCATTATCTTTTATTCATTATGTTGCAAAAATGTGAAGTCCAGCTAATTTTGTTGTTGTTGACCCTTGGGTTTGGGAGCTGTGTGTTTGGCAAGATATTTTTTATTGAATGATTATGCCAGAAATACTTGTGGTATAAGTTTCTATTAATTTTTGATCAAAAATAATATGCATTTTTAATTGATATACACAGGTATATTTTCATCTCAGGAAAGGCATACTCTCTACTTACTCTTTTAATTATGGCATCCGTTACTTTTCGTAGTTTTATGAGAGTCAACATATTATTTGGAAGTTGCTTATTTGTTTTTTCCCCATGACAAAATTTGCTTGCTTCTACATTCTCAGAGCAAATGATAATGTATTAATAGATATTTTGGTTTTTTTTAAAGAACAGTATAAGAACTGTGACTTTAACATTTTACGATTGTTACTTCAGGAACTTCTTGAATCTTGAAGTTTGCACCATCTAAAGCTATCAAAAGAAGTCTTCGAACAGCTACAGTTAATTCATTCTCCAAACCTCATAATAGTGAATTCTTTTTAAAAGGCTTAAAGCTAACTTTTTTTTTTACAGAAATACAAATATTAAATATTTCTACTATATTTAAATTTCTTTGTAAATATTCTCTTCTGTAACCATTCTGATTACATCACTCATATTTTGGACTGGCCAGATAATATTTTAAGTGTACTCATTGTTGAGAAAACTAATGTTATACATTTTTGTTTTTTGTTTAGATATGGAGTATGAAACAAGACAATTGTGTCCATGATTTGCAAGCACATAATAAAGAAATTTATACTATCAAATGGAGTCCAACAGGACCAGGGACAAATAATCCAAATGCCAACCTTATGTTAGCAAGGTGATATTTCTTGTTTATTCTTCCTTTTATGAGTCTTCTACAAATAAAATTTCTAATATGACAGAAAATTAGGGAAGATTTCATGAAATGTATCTATCCTACAAGGAATATATTTTTAATGGGAACCTTTAAACACAGGGTTTTATTATCGATATTTCAGGTCATAATGGTTTTTTGTATCTGGATATAATCATATATTGACCAATACCAAATATTTATTAAAACCCAAGTAATTGAGGCATAGTAAAATAAAATTTCTTTAGCATCTTTTGAAAAAAGATAAATTTAAAGCTATGGCCTATTCAGTGTTCAAAACCATGTATCAGTAAACAGGGATTATTTAAAGAGAAAGGAATGCAGTGAATTAGTTTATGTATGTTTTCCAATTTAGGGACTTGGGGATGCTTTAAATTTCTTTTTTCTTTTTTTTAGCTTCCGTTTTTAGGATGCTTTCTTCCTAACAGTCCAATCTACTTCTCTTAAAGAATTTGTGGTCAGCTATTTATTAGGAGTGCTTGAATATAGGAAGTTGGGGACAAGGCTGGGAAAGTATTTCATTACTTATTAAATCATTTTTTTCCTCCCTTTTCAGTGCATCCTTTGATTCTACTGTTAGGTTATGGGATGTAGACCGAGGGATTTGCATCCATACTTTGACAAAACACCAAGAGCCTGTGTACAGTGTAGCTTTCAGTCCTGATGGCAGGTATCTGGCAAGTGGTTCTTTTGACAAATGTGTGCACATCTGGAACACACAGGTATGTCTGAGTTATTTAAATGGTCAAGTACTCATACATTTAGTTAGAAGCATCTGCCAATACAAATATATTTTTCCTTTTTGGTTGTTATTCCTCATGTGGCATTAATTCAATTCTTGGTTTTAAAGTGAGTGTACATGTTTGGGGAGTTTACAGCTAAGCGAATACAGAAAACAATTGAAGTTTTATTTTCCTGTTGTAGACCAGAATTTAGAAATGGATTTAGATTTCTTGTTTATTATTTTATTCCTTGTTTTTTCCAACAGCTTTGTAGACATAAAATGTGAAAGTTTAAAATGTATTCACTTAAATGACAGATTTTATTTTCTTTGAAGGGGCTATATATGAGCAGTAAAAAAATGTGTTAAAGAACAAGATTTTATCGCTGAACACAGTGATATATCAGAAACAAACTAACATTTTCAGGGACAATGCCATAGAGGTCCCTTCTTAAAAGTGGAGAAAACAGCCTGTTGCCTTCATTTTAAATTTTCTCAGTGTTTTAGTTTTTATGTTTGATTTACTATGGTTTTTTTTTATTATTATTATCAAGACAGAATCCTGCTCTGTGGCCCAGGGTAGTATGCCCTGGTGTCATCACAGCTCACTGTAGCCTCAAACTCCCAGGATCATGCCATCCTCCTGCCTCAGCCTCCTGAGTAGCTGGAACTAAAGGAGGACATGCCCAGCTCATTTTTCTATTTTTAATAGAAGCTGTGTCTTGCTTTTACTTAGGCTGGTCTTGAACTGCTGAGCTCAAGGGATCCTCCTGCCTTGGCCTCCCAGAGTGCTAGGATAACAGGCATGAAACACCGTGCCCAGTGCATTTACTTTGTTTTTTTAATAGCAGTCACTGGATTCACCCATGAGATCTTTGCTGGTTGTAGTGCACACATAGTAAGTTATTGTGGGCTATTTCTGTGTAGCTGACGACCACCATAGTTGATTTCACAAACTAATTTGCTTAAGTCATCATTTTCAAGTGTTTTTGATTAAGTTATACATTTATATGGTTCAGGAAGCACCAAACATTATATGAAGGTGTACACTAAGAAGTATTTCCCATTTCTGGCTTCATTTGCTGGTAACTATTTTTATTAGTTTTTCTTTTCCTCCTTAGTTCTTTTTGTGAATAAAAGCATTGTGATTCTTTCATTTTACACTACCACTGGCAATGTAGGAGAATATGTTGCCTCACATTCCAACCTATAGGTGAAAAACGTTATTTCAGTGTAGTTTTAAATTTGCATTTCTTTATGAGTAAGGTTGTGAATCTCTATATATTTAAGAGTTTATGTTAATTTTTTGTGAACTGTCTGATCATGTTTTTTCCTTGGTTTTCAACTGGGCTATTGGTCTTCTTGATTTATGGGGGCTCTTTATGTACTGGAAAAATAAACCCTGTGTGATACGAATTATAAATGTTTTTCTAGTTGAACAATTATTAAGCCAGAATCTTATATTTATATTTTAATAAAATTTTAAAGTAATGGTATTCTACCTTAATATTTTTTCATTACTTTCTTACCTCTACTCCTCTGTTTTCTCTCTTTATGAGTATATTTTGGATATACTCTGTAACTATGATGTATGTGTTTTAAAAATTTGTTTCCAGATTTTAGTGTTTGTGGGAGGACACTAACTGCACACCCAAGTAAACTTTTTAAAACTGAACAACAGTTGAGTAGTTTATGAAAGTGAATATAAATATAAATAATAATATAAATCTCCGTGTATATTCAAGTTAGTCTTTCAAATAGAAAATAACATAACACCCATGTACCTATTGCCCATATTTAATTGATAGGAACATTTTGCCACACTTATTTTAGATCTCTTTTTTCCTGTTTTTACATGATAAAATGTTATCTATACCTGAAGTGTTTACCTCCATTTTCCTCATCTTTCCTAGAGCTATGGCAGTCCTGAAGAGAATGTCTGTCATTCCCATGATAAATGACATATGCTACTATTTTCTTTGGTAAAATTGTAATAAATCATATATATCTTTCCAAGCTTGTATTTTTTTACCACTTTGTTTTTTGAAATATAAATCACATTGTTACATACAGCTCTATATGATCGGGCCATTGCACTCCAGCCTAGGTGACAGAACAAAACCTTTTCTCTCCCCAAAAGAAAAAAATACATGTAGCTCTAGAATGATGGTTTATTTTGACTGCTCTAGAGCATTGTATGAATGTATCAGTTTTTTAATTCATTGTCCTATTGAGGGACTTTTAATATATGATAAACAACATGTGAACATACTTGCACATGTTGTGTACATGAATGAAAGTTTCTCTAATGCTTTACTATAAATACATCTATAAGTGGAAATCATGGACCCAAACAGTATATATACATACATACTAAACTGCTCTCCAAATCGCTTAACTCTTTACACTTCTAATGGCAATATTTAGAATTTCCCATTTTCTCCTATCCTAAAATTATCAGACCATTAAACATTTTTCCTGTTTGATGGATATGAAATGGTATTTTATTTTAATTTGCATTTCCTTAATTCTTGATGAGTTTAAATTTCTTTTCACTTTTTTGAGTTTACCCTTCCCCTCACTTTTCAGTTGTTTTCTTTATTTTTCATATTGATTTGTTAGTGTTCATTATGCATTCTGGATACTAATCCTTCTTGGTCATGTGGATTGCAATATCTCCGAGTTCCCTGTCTTTTCATTTTCTTTGTGGGGTATTTATTATATAGAAATTTTTAATTAGTGTTTGGATTTATTGGTCTGTCTTTTTTTGGTTTAAATTTATTTATTTATTTATTTATTTATTTTTAGAGGCAGGGTCTCGCTATGGTTGCCCAGGATGGACTTCAGCTCCTGGGCTCAAGCGATCCTCCTGCCTCAGCCTCCTGAGTAGCTGGGATTATAGGTATGGGTATGGGCCACTGCACCCAGCTAGGTCTTTCTTTTTTCATGGTGTTTTTTGCAGCTTAATACATTCTTCCTTATGTAGATGTCATTGAGGTTTCTGATAGTTTTTCATAAGTATTTATTTTCTTTTATATTTTTAACCTCTGTGGAACTGATTTTTTATATGTGATGTGAGGTAGGGATATAATTTTTATCTTTCCGTATGAATACTTAGTTGTCTCAGTACCATTCATTGTCCCCTTACTGTTTTCATAATGCCGCTTTCATATACCAGGTTCATCTGTGTGGTTTGTTTCTAGATTCTCTGTTATTTGATTGATACATTTGTATATACCTGAATCAATAGCATAGTTTTTGAATGACTTTATAAGTCCCCTTCTTCAAAATTGCTTTTCTGTTCTCGGCACATTATTCTTCATATTTCCATAAAAAAAAGAGCATGTAGTTCTGGATTTTGTTTGAGTACGTTGAATTTATAGATGAAATTTGGGGAAATTATTATTGAGTTTTATCACCCATAAATATGTGTTTATTTATTTTGTCTTTTATTTCTTCAGTAAAGTTTTATAATTTCTCTATCAAAATCTTTTTTTTTCTTAATGTTTTCTAAGGTGCCTATGGTTTCTATGTTATTGTGAATGACATCTTTTAAAAAATATATTCCTTTTACTTACTAAAAGTAAGTTGCTCATGTTTAGGACATTTTCAGTCATTCATTTAATCCACTGTGACAAAATCAGTTTCAATGAAATTTGCCAGAGTGTTAGTGAAAGATACTGCTAGGCTTTTAAGAGCATTTGAGCACCTTATCCATATTATTTTGTTATATCACCATAGTGTATCGAAATTCTCATTTTACTTTTTTTAAGTTTGAAAATAGTAAAATGGCATCTAGTTAATTTTTAGTACATGAGAAAGTCATTTTTTTTGTTATATATACATCTAGTTGGGGTTTTTTTCATTCATTACTTGGGTGATATGTTACCTAAGCATTTGGGAGGTGTGTTGTTGAAGGCTTGTCCCAACATACATGAGATTTGAGGTAGACGTTGATGATCCAGTCCATTGGCCTTTTTAAATGTCATAGCTCTGCCTTGTTGACCATACTGTATTGATTCATTATAGCCTATTTCAAGCTTAGAAATTGGCAAGTGCTTTTGAAAGAAAGCTGTTTGTTTTTTAACCCCAGCGTTGACTGTAGATCATAGGTGTGTAGGTTGACTATACAGTTTACTTTCTATATCTCAGAAACTTTAGATTTTGTTGGTTCCACTCCTTTTGCCCCCTCATTAAGTAACCATAGATATTCAAGGCTAACTGTACTCAAAGTCTCATATATTGCAAGAAATTTTAAGTAGAGAAGAAAACCATTTGAACCTTCCCAATCTGATCAGCCTTAGCAGGTGCACCTATGGTTTGCGTCACATTACTAGACTGAATTTAAGAAGGAAAGTGAGGGAAACCAGTCTTCTAGCCTGGTGGTTAACTTGGATAGGCTGTATGGAAAATATTTCAAATGTACGTGGCTTTTTGTCATGTTGTTTTTAGGTAGATCTGCTACCTCTAGCTTGGCTTCTTAGGTTATCATAAAGCTACAGAGATCACTTTTCAGATTTGTCAGGACAAAACACCAGAAGTATGTTTTTCATGGTTTTCCAGTTTTCACAGCAGGACCTCTGACCACTGCCCTATTTAATACCTGGTTTCATAGGAGAATACATTTTTAACTGTTTTTCGGGGACAGCTGAATGATTTTTGTTTTCATTGCTGAAGGAATAAAATAATTTAGTTACAATTCAGGTAAATTGATGAAATTGTTAGTACTCCCAGCTGTGGTTTCTTTTTTTTTTTTTTTTAATTTATAACATCTTTCAAGAATAATGTACATGTCTTACATTGTTTTAGCTTCTAACTCCCCTAGTTTAGGGGCTACTCAGTAAATATGGAGTAAATAACAGACTTATTGAAATTATGTTTAGTAGTTTGTTATACTTCCTCTTTGGGAGTTTTGGCAAAGAAATTCTGAATTAATTTTGTTTCTCTGTGTGTTAACTAAACTCATGCATCCTTCAACAACAATAAATCTTACTTCATGTCATACACCGAATGTTTACTTCTAGTTGGTAGCTGTGTCAAAGAGGTCAAAGATACCTTAGCCAAGAATGGTAATCAATATGGGAGAAACTGAATGTGTACGTGAGTAACCTTTTGAGAGCAGGCTAGTATTATCTTTTTATAAAAGGATCATCACATCATGTTTGTAGAATTTCAGAACTTGTACTTATTTTATAGTTGAAGCTAAGTCTCACCTCTGATTGCTAGAAATAAGATCATGAAATATTTTTATATCATTTGGATTTGCAATAATATAATGGTTTTTAAGATTTTGTTTTTCATTTTTTAGACAGGTGCTCTAGTTCACAGCTATAGGGGAACAGGTGGAATTTTTGAAGTTTGTTGGAATGCAGCAGGAGACAAAGTTGGAGCCAGTGCATCAGATGGTTCAGTAAGTATAGTAAAGTATTTCCAAAGAGGGTATGGGGGGGAGGGTGTGTACGCACATTGGAATGTGGCTTATCATGGTAGTGACACGGTGTTCTTTTCAAAATAAATTTTAAGATATGGTATTGCTTTTTTTCCCCTGAAGGTTGTATACTTTTCATGTTTATTGCATTCAAATAATGTAAACAAAATTTAAGCTATCTTTGCTAAGAGAGTGCCTTTGTAATCAAGAAATGGGCAGTTGTTTTTTATGTAAACCTTCATTAATGAAATTAAATATAGCAGAGTTAGTACTCTGAGAGTGATTTGAATTTTTAATTCCTATTTGTACCTTTTCCTCCCCACAGAAGTGTGTTGTTGGCCCAAGACAGGTGGTATTAGAGGCAGTTGGTTCCTGCATTGAGGAACGTGTGATACTGAGAGACTTTCAGGATGAGGTTGGCCAGCTCTTTACAGAAATGCTGCTGTGGCTTCCAAAGCTCTAAAAGCAAAGGGAAGATAGAAGGAGCATAGCCATTAGCTGTTTACTGAAGCTGTAGCTAAATATAATCTGTGATACCTTTCATTCAGGTCCAAGTGATAGGAAATGGTCTGTTTTGAGCATTTTTCTCTTTTTAATAGTAAATTCTAAGAAATCCTAGCCATGGTTCTTTCCCCATAGTATTAGTTCATGGCTATTTGCTTGATCTACTTAAATGATCTGTCCAGTATCTACTGGTTAAGTGCCTATACTTTCATGACTACTGTGCTTTACCCATTTTGTGAATTTGGAACTAAGAAACAGATTCCAAATTGTACTATAGAAAAGTTAAACATAAAATGTACAGTAAAATTCTGAACACACTGGTTGATTATTTTAATCTCTTACAGGTTTGTGTATTAGACCTTCGGAAATAGCGCTACTAGTTGGAAGCCATGGACCGACTATGAATGTGTACATAGCCAAAATGACTGTCCCTGACCCATGTACTGCTATAGTCCCACTTGAACCATGGCCAGTCCACTACAGCCAAATCTAAAAGAAATATATACATACAGTGTATATAAACAAAATTGCACCCTGAAGATGACAGAGTTTTGTCACAGCTTGTGAATTCTGTTCACCAAGTGCTGGAATCTAATCTGCTGTGCCCCTAAAATAGCATTTAGAAGTTTTGGATATGAAAAACAGAAGAGAGAAAGAAATATACATTATAAAACCAGACCATACATGTACCAGTTTTGGATACTAATGACAGCCTTGTTTCTCCCCTTTGAATCAGCAGACACCATGGATTATATTCTTTTTTCCCTTCAGTAGTGAGCAGTTTGTATGTACAGAGAAAATGGACTTACAAAAACTTGCAGCAGTAGTTTGTTCTTGCTTTTAAATTTTGTTTTTTGGTTTAGATTATGGATGCATGAAGTAAGGGAGTGAATCAGTTTCTTGTTTATATTTTTTTCACCTTTTAAACAACAAAAAAAAATTCTTAAAAATATTTTAATGCATTCTTTTGAAGAGGTAGATGTTTGGTACATTTTATGGCTCCCAGAGCATATATTCAATTGGTGCATGTTGTGGAAGGGGGAATTGGAAAATAAATGAAAACGTATGACTTTGGTCATGTCAATCTGTAAGACACATCAGTAAAAGGGTATTATGCTCTGTTTTTGTTGGTGATGTGGCTTAAATGCAATAGTTTCTTTTTTGGGACATATTTCTGCCAATTACAGACTAGAAGGGCACAAAATGTGTTTTGTTTTTTTTTTTAAATACCATAGAGAAGATACATTAAAAAAAAATCTTCTGATGTTTTGTAGCCATAACTAAATTATGGTTAAAATGTGCACTATTGTGAAAAGGAGCAAAGTAGTTTTGGGGTTTTTTGTTGTTTGTTTTGCTTTGTTTTTTAAGAGATTAAAATGTTTCTGGATAAGGATTAGCTTCTCAAAGTGTCCATCATTCTGTGTAGAAGCTTAAATATGTAATGTAACCAAACTCCAGTATTAAAAAATCTCTGATGTTATTTTTCTTTATACAAAGCAAGATGACGGCATATAACACTGCCATTACATGGCAAAATGTTTGCTACCTTAGTTTACAAAACAATCTTTAAAACAAAAGACTTGCTTCAAGACGCTTTTAAATAGCAGTGATTCAGATTTTTTTTTTTTTAAGTATAATTGCACTAACCTCCCTGCTGCTTTGATTCTGCATTTGTGGTACTTGTGAGTACATTTTTCAAATATAGGTAGATTTAAGCTGCTATTTTTTTTTCAGTAATCACTACTATATCATGTCTTTTACTCTTTATAATATCAAGTATTTTCATAAAGATACAGGTATCAGATCACTCCTCCTTTTGTTCTCATGCAACTGAAAGTAAAATGTATAGAAAAATGATAGCATGAGGCCATGTTTATATATGTGACTAACAGGGTTTGTCATGATTAACATAGGAATCCAGGAATGTCAGTTTTGAACAGAATAGTTGTCAAATTTATATCTCAAAGACTTTAATTAAGGAATTGCTTGTTATTGAGCTTAGCAAATTTATAACACTATTTCTGTCACTAATTATTTTGAGGCCTTTACTATTAAAATTTTAACCTATGTCCTAAGTTTAAGTGGAAACTAATTTAACCCAAGTAAGTAATGCAGCTTTGATTTTCAGCATTTGTTGCTTTGCTATTTTTACAAAACAGCATTGATTGAAGCAAGTCTTGGTTTTACTAAGGTAGGATAGCATTTGCTATTGGTAAAGAGAATAAATACACTTAATTTCACAATACGTTGTTATATGTACCCCAGTTGTTGTTAGTGGGGACTATGATACTGTAATAATATTTTTTAAAATTTACATCCAGAGAGGCAGTCATTCATGATGGTTTTGTGCCAGCTCTTTTTAGGGTTTTGGATCACATTAGAGATATTTAGAACTTATTACCCTGTGACTTATGTAGGAAACCTAATATGCTGAGTATCTGGCACTTGAAATCCTGCTTTTATTGCTGGAGGTCCACATCTGTGGTTGACCTCTGTTGTTGTTTAAAAAAATAAATAAAAATAAAAAAATCTGTGCAATAATTTTTAAATGTGCTCCCAGGAATAGACACAAATGTTTTGAGTATGTTTAAGCTGCATTTTCCTTTAGGATGCATTTGTCAATTGCACTGAATTTAAATCTGAAAGTCAGAGGTGATTATTGATAGTACTTTTGTATTTTGATATGGACAGTTTATTCATTTGCATACAGTTATTGACTTTTTTCCCAGCTGATAAGATGATAGTCAAGAAATTCTGCAATATAGCTGCCAAAATAGACAGCTAACATTTTTAAGATATTGTCATCTTTTCTGTTTTTTTCTTTTTAATTCTTTAGCTATTTTACTTAAGCATAATAGCCACAGTAGGACATATAAAAGATTATAAATACAGAGCTTTATTATCCTGAAGTCTTGGGTCTTTTACGTATAAACTTCTCTGAAAGGTATCCATTTTGTAGGCTTGGGTTCTTCATGAGCATGAGATTCTTTATTTTTGCTGCTGTTCTCAAGATCATCATTGCCTGCTGATGTGCCACGATGCTGCTCCAAAACACAAAAGTAAGATTGTCTCTAATTTGAGCAGTAACATGATTGCAAGAGACCAAGTTTCACAGCCTGTAAAGTTCTGTATTTGGGGTTCTTGCTCATTTTCCTCCTGTATTCTTCTGAAAACTTATTCCTGAAGATCAACTGAATCCAGTAGTTTTTCTGTGGTATTCATTATATCATTGTTGTATAAGCTACTGTAAGAAACCTATTGTTAAGGAAAAATAGAAAGGAAAACTTGAATACTCATTGATTAAAATAGAATAAAGAAAGAGCAGCTGCCACTCTTAAACAACATAAAGGAATATCTTTTTTTCTCCTCCATGTAGGAAATCCCATAAGTTCTTATATTTGTTCCAATCCCCATTTCCTATCATTGATCAGGTAACATCATTGACTTTCAAATGACTTTTAGAAGTGGTAACTTTTAATTTTCTAATAGATATTAGAGTGTATCGAATTCTGTTTATTCTCTAGGTAAGTATGTTTTAGGATTAAACACCTTTTACAGATACTGAAAGTGCCTCCTTTTGTGGTGTAAAAAAACAAATTATGGTGCAAAAAGTAATCACTAGATTGAATTACATGAAGGTTTTTTGCTTTTTGACATGAAAATGTCAAGAGAAAGGCCAAAGATTTGTACTTTTTCACTTATAAAGCACTCCTTTTTTCCTTAAACTTCTTTCTGTCAAATTAGATTTAATGAGAGAGTACTATTTTTCAGGAGCTATCTGTTTATGTAGAATGATTTGTTAAGAGTAATGTAAACTATTATTGAGTAGAGGCCTAAAGAGGACTGTGCATTTTTGCTATTTAAAGGAATCACAAATGACCGTACTTATGTGAGCAAAAATGACAAGTTTTACTAGATAAGTAGAAAACTAAATCTCAAATGCAGTGCTATTTACTCTTTTAAAACAATTTTCATTTTCTTAAGCACATTGTACATTTCTACAGAAACCTGTGTTTATTATCACATGCTAAGGATGGTACTTGCATATGGTGAATTACTGTTGACAGTTTCCGCAGAAATCCTATTTCAGTGGACCAACATTGTGGCATGGCAGCAAATGCCAACATTTTGTGGAATAGCAGCAAATCTACAAGAGACCCTGGTTGGTTTTTTGTTTTGTTTTGTTTTTTCCCCCTTCTGAATCAGCAGGGATGGAAGGAGGGTAGGGAAGTTATGAATTACTCCTTCCAGCAGTAGCTCTGAAGTGTCACATTTAGTATCAATTTTTTTAACATGATTATAGTTAAATTTAGAAGAGAGAAAAAAGAGGAAGTGTTCACTTTTGTAATACACTGATTTAGAAATTTGATGTCTTATATCAGTAGTTCTGAGGTATTGATAGCATTCTTTATTTCTGCCTTTATGTTGACAGTGTTGAAGCAGGGTGAATAACTAGGGCATATTTTTTTTTCTAGTAAAGTGTTTCATGATGTTTTCTTTGGAATTTCTGGATAAGTTCAAGAAAACATTCTGCATGTTGTATCTAGTCTGATGTACTTATCCATCTCATTACAAACAAAAACACGCAGAGTGCATTTTGTAGCTCTGTAATCGTTGAATACAGAAGTAGTTTTCTTCTTTCCTGACTTTGACATTGTAGCTATAATGTTTTCATTTTGATTTTTACAAATCCTTTGGGTCTAATTCTGTGAGCCTACCTATAGCACTGGATTAAAATGTCTGCATCATTTCTTTAGTTATCCAGTTAACTTTAAAACTGTTGTAAAAGTGTAAACCAGCCCATGACAGTTTTTTGTATATGTTAAAGAACTTTATTGTTCAGTTTTCATGATTATTGTATAAGGAAGACTGATATAGATGTTCTATGCTGTCCTGGACCATGTTAATTACACTTATGATGTATTTTGGTTCCACATCACAATGATTTGTCCCCAATGACCTTTTATCCTTTCTAGGCACATTTTTTTTTGTTGTTGTTGTTGCAGTTTCCCTTTGCATTGTATTGCTTTGACAACTGTAATTTGAATCAGATCTGAAAGAGGTCCAGAATAAAATATATTTTGATATTATGTTGGCTGTGTACATATATAAAACCTTTGATATCTATGTAGTTTGTACAGACTATTTCCTAGTCAAGTAAAGAGAGAGAGATGGTATTTCTTGTTTACAGTTTCTTGTTTACATTTTAATTGCTTTTATTCCTCCAATGTTCTATTGTAGAATAAACTTTTTTGCTCTGAGTTAGCGTTCATAACCTATAACATGTGTATTCTCTCCCATACTGGTGTTTCCAATTATAACTGCATCAGAACCCAAACCACTGTTTTTCATGAAGATTTTGTTTTCCAAGATATATAAAGTAAGCCCATAGGTAAAATTACAAATTTTACTATTTTATTACTTCTTGCAGGAGATAAGATTTTTTTTAAATGAAGGGATTATTTACTATTTTTATTAATAATAGAGCATCTAATCAGCTAAAGGATAGCAATTTTTAATTATTATGAAAAATCAATATTGTATTTAAAGGACATTATTTCACATTAAGCTAAAAGAGACCTCAGATTCATTTGTTTGCTTAGCGCATAGTTGAGCACAAAACAATGTATGTGTTGTTGAAGATTAGGGCAAGAGGCTCAACTTCCTTAATGACCTTT